GTACATAATAATGTATCAGCAATAATAAAATGATAAAATAAATGACTAAAATAATACTAGTCTTAAAATAATAAAACCAGTAAAATAAAAATAAAAATCATAGAATAGAAATAAATAAACCAATAAATAAAATAAATCAATAAAACCAATAAAAACACATAAAAATAGGAGCACACAACTCACGTGGTGTTAAAAGCCAGAGAATAAAAGTGGGTCTTAAGACGAGACTTAAAACTCTCCACTGTGGGGCTGTTCGGATGTGGGGGGGGCAGAGTGTTCCAGAGTTTAGGGTCGACCACAGAGAAGGTTCTGTCCTCCCTGGTTTTAAGTCTCGTCTTAGGCCCCCTGAGCTGGAGCTGGACCTCAGAGCGCGGGGAGGGTATACATTTGGGTGAGGTCCTGTGGGGGCCAGAACATTCAAAGTTTAAAAACAAACAATAAAATCTTAAAATCAATTCTAAAATGAACAGGAAGCCAGAGCAAAGATGTGAGGACTGGGGTGATGTGCTCTCTCCTTTTTGTTCCTGTTAAAAGTCGCGCTGCAGAGTTTTGAACTACCGTATTTTCCGCACTATTAGTCGCTCTGGATTATAAAACGCACTCATTAAATGGTCTATTTTCAAACTTTCTTCACAAATAAACCACACCAGACTTTAAATGAAACCCAACAGTGTGATGGGTGAGTGGTTTTGTTTGTTTGGTGCGTTCACGGTGACTCTGGGCTTTGTTCAGTTGTGGCGTGTAGGGAGGGTGCTTCCTCTGTTCCGTTCCTCGTCGGCGTGGAGTGATGAGTGTGGCTGCGAGTGTTTGTCGCTGTGCGGTCACTGTCTGCTCCGTGTGTGTTTGTGTGTTCTGCGGGTGTTGCAGCTTTGTAGTTTACTGCAGTCGTGCTGGGACACCTGAGTGGATTCGTGCGCTCTGGATTGTGGGGCGTGTGGTCGTTTTTTGATGGGGTTGGAGGCTTAAGAGCGTGCCTAAAATACAGTAACTGTGGTAAAGTGCGTTACAGTTTTCCAGGCGTGATGAAATAAAAGCATGCATAACTTGTTCAAAAAGTTTAAAAGATAAAAAAGGTTTAACTTTAGATAAAAGCCACAAATGATAAAAAACTTGCATTTTAAAACATTGTTGATCTGTTTGTCAAATTTAATATCACTGTCTAAGGTGACGCCGAGGTTGGTGACTGTGGGACGAACATCATTTTTGAGGTGTCCCACGTCAGTGAGGGAACTGTCAGTGAGTGCTGGCCCTTTTAAATCAATTTAAAAAAAAGAAACAACTGTGCTGATTTCTGCATTAGAAAACTGTGGTGCCCATTGGGAGCTGACGTGGCCGTAAATGTCAAAGCAAAGTCTGTTGAAGTCTGCACCTCCTATGGATAGTTGTAGATCACAAGTAGCTTTTTTCCCCACTTGTACCAAAATGACTATGTGACACTGCCAAACCCTACTCATATCACTGATTATATGACAGAGCAGCAGGCGTGTGGTGTTGATAGCGGGAGTTCAGATTACTCAAACATGCACACATGAATAAATCAGAATTACTCCAGATACAACTTTCAGTGAGTAAATGAGAAGGTGGAATAACTCTAACATGGTGAAAAGCTCTGAAAAGTTTTACAGAACACGTCTGCTTTAACTATCCAACTCAACTATGTGGTCAGTCCACGGCTGTGGAACACTTTGCCTTTGCACATTAACACTGCACAGCCACTGGAGCACTTTAAATCCTCGCTCAAAACACACATTTTCTCCTTTGCATTTGCCCAGAGTTAAGAAGAGACATCTTGGCATCTTGTTATTAGGGCTGGGTTGCTGTTACGATACATACCTCAATAAATAGGCCACAATACAACACATACCTCGATACATAGGCTATGATACACACGATACATATCTCGATACATAGGCCACAATACAATACATATCTCGATACAGTGAGTTTTCGGTTTGATACAATAAAATACGATATTTCAAACTGATTCAATGTGGTTCAATAAAAATCTGGCTAAATCATTGCTGTGATACAAAGCTCAAAGTCTTTGTTAAACCACCTTTTGTGCGACGTGAATATGAAACACACCCAGTTTAATCATCGAAACAGTGAAAATGTCGAATGTGTTGCATAAACGAGTTTCCTCCCACTAATAAAAGCAACAAAACTGTAGCTCTAACAAAATAATTTCCTAAAATATACCAAAAAATACTCTTGGCAATGTGTCAATACAGCAGCCCATGATATCGATACTGTATCATCACATTAAACAATATGATATACTGATATTACAAAATTTTTGCTACTGTTTTTCGTATTGTATTTTTTATTCCACTGTAAATGTTCAGCACTTTGGTAAGCTATGGGATGGTTTCAAATGTATTTGTATAGCACATTTAAAACAGCCAGAGTTCATTTCTGTGCTCCAATCTCTTCTGATCTAACCGAACTTGTTTTTCATGACAGCACTTTACAAAACAAACCAACCAAAGTAACGCTGAGTATGTTCAGGTAAAAGCAGCGACCGGAGCGTGGCTATCAGAACCACGCTACACTGGAGGAAGTCTGCGTTCACCTAAACACAGGGCGATGGTAAACACCGCTGCGCCTGTTACATCACAAGTGCTCAGACCTGCCATTACCTCGTCTTGGAACTGCAAACAGTCATTTCAGCAAAGTCCAAACCCACACAGATCAAATGAGCTTATGTGTCCAGACCAAAGCACCACTTCAAACCACAACCCAGTGTTACTTTTCCATACACATTCATAAGCATTTGATAAAAGTTCTAATAGTTTTTAAACATTGCGCATTTAAGAAGAGGTGGGTAGTGCTCGGTTACATTTTCTTGAGTAACTTTTTAAAGAAATTCTACTTTAAAAGGGGAACTATGTAACTTTTCTGTTGGAGACAAATGCTTCTCTCGGTGTAGATGTCAGAGAATGTTAAACAGATCTACTTTGCATTTATTAAATTAAAGGTGGAAAAAAATAATAATTCTCGAAAAACAGACATTCTGACTGAGCGGGGTCGCCTCTCCACAGATCTGACCTGTAACTTGGTCTGGTTTGGTCTCCATGAAGTGAGAAAGGTTTAATTCCAGGCAAAGCAATAACATCACCATGGAGACAAGCATTTGACAGGACCTCCGCGAGAAAAGTTACACAATGCAGCTTTAATGTTTTGTCCTAATTATTTTAATTTTTTCACATAACTTTTCTCTGAGTTCATCTTTGGATACTCTACCCACTTCTGCATAAGAAAACCATCACAACTTTCTATATTTTTGACTTTTAATTAAATGTTTGAAGTGAGTGGCAGATATTCCTTGACATTAGGCGTTTCATTTCCTTTTCAACAGTGAAGAGAAACTTATTTTTACTTTGCTTAGTAGAACTGCAACTATTATTTTTGTAGTAGTCGACTAGTCAGCCATTTATTTCTTTTGGTTAAATAGTCAAATGCTTCTTTTTATTGTACACTGAGACCTTTTAAATGAAATAAAGGTTGAAAAACAGAGCAGACTAATATGAATCTGTATAAAGTATTATTGTTGTCTCTGATATAAAAGCTCTTTTGGTGTGTGTTTTAGAGCTTGTATTGTCCAGATTAGGTGTGCCCAATGCAAATACTATACCTTTAAGTATCTGCCGATATCAACCGATACCAGCACAGAGACTGAAAACTGCATTTAGTTCCTTAAAATAAGATAAACATAAGACAAAAGTGATCCAAATGAGTTATGTATCTTATGATATTTATCCCTGAAGTAACTACAGAACAGCTTTGTATATAAAAGTTCAAACATTCAGACTTTCTGTTCCAGCTCCCAAAAATAAATAGAAAAGCAAAAGTAAATAGTCTTCATCCAGTCCATTTAGCAGTTGCCCAGTCAAAATATCGGTTGAATCGATATTTGAAAGCCCATATCCCATCCAGCAATTTATACCAGTATCGGATCAATGTATGCCTAGTCCAGATTACAATTACGATTATGAAAGCAGCACTATGATTTTTATTTACTTTTTATTTTATTAACTAGTCACAGCCATAATTTTTGCTTGTTACGTAATTTAAATTTAGAAAGTAACCCCTTACTTTACTTAGTTACCTTCTATGGAAAGTAACTTTTTACGTTACTCGTAATTTTTTGGTGGCAAACTACGTGTAAGGCTACAGTAAATACCAACAGCAGACCGACAGTCAACAAGTACTGTAAGGGAAAGTACAAAAGAACTTTGAAGAGAGTTCAAGAGGACGTGAAACAGTTAAGAGGTCAACGGGAATTGAAAAAGGAGTTTTGTTTCGTTACCAAATTGTCAGTAGTAGCGTGTTACACAATTTTTACCCCAAAAAAGTGGTTGCATTACACCCAACCCTGTTTAAAGTGCATATGACACATTTTTATGCTTGTTTAATTTTGACTTAATTTGGTGGGATTAAAACTGGGAAATATAAAAGATAGGATTACACAAAATTTGCAAAGAAAAGTGTTAAATTACAGGAAGTAGACACATTGACGACAACATGCTCAGAAGAACTCTATCCAAACGTTCGGTCCAATTTCCACACAAGAAACTCATTTTTTCTGATACTTTCAACATGAAATAAATGTATTTTCTTACATTTGTTTTATTTGTCAGATAATAATTCCTGTTTACATTAGAGAAGTTTCGCTATGTGATGTCCCCGGTGTGATGTTACAGATTTGAAATACAATGATCTTAGTTTTGTTTTAGTAAAATACACCATCTGACCTGTCATAGGCGCTTTAATTTTTGCAGCCCTATAACTCACTGTTGTATTTTTAAGTACTCTCAACTTACATTTGTAACCATGCGCACACAGAACTATGAAATGCCCATCACAGCTTGACGCCTGCTCAGATCCACTCAATAACACGGACAGACTGTTAAAACCTGCTGTTGTTTGTAACAGACACATGCACATCTCATATTACATGGACACAGCGTTATCACAGACACAGAGACACGCTCACTCACCTTCATTTTCAGAAGCGGGGCACGCCACCTGTACCACCAGATCAAAAGTCCGCTCTGGATTCTCCCTGTGGAAAAACAACAACAAAAGATGATTTATTCTGATCATTTATTTGTTTTATTTATACAGATTAATGTAAAGGTGCGCTGTTTAACTGTAAGGCTACCTGCTTGTCACCATGGAGATCTAATTCATCTTATCTATAATATTATAACATTTCTCTTCTTTCTTGTATGTTTAAAGATGCACTGCGTAACTTTACTGGTAGAGGGTCCACCACCTGTTTGTATCTATGGAGATGTTATTGCTTTGGACAGGAATATTCAAGAATAAAAAGAATAAAAAGAAAAGAATAAAAGTATTATCTTCATGGAAACATCACCTGGTAAAGTTACGGGTCAGTTCTGTGGAGAGGCGACCCCAGTAACAGCAAGAATGCATGATTTCAAGGTACGATGAACGCACCGGCAGTGAAATAAATGCTACATAGATTAAAGCTATATTGTGTAACATTCCAGGCAGAGCATTGCCATCTCTGTAGAGACAAGGAGACAGAGCAGGAAAGTTGTAGTGCACTGTTAAGTTAAAGACACTGTTGCTGTCTTTTGAGAATTTATTAATGAAATAAATATATAAATATATAGATAGATACATTAAAAACAAATAATTGCTTTGACCAGAATGTTCCCAAATAAGGTATTAAACATTATTTTTTTTTTTATTTTTTTGCATTAGTTCAATTATGGCTGTTTTTATTCCTATTAACTTGGCCGTGTGGTGCCACCTGCTTTTTTAAGTTTAATGCCATTCCATGGAACATTCCCAGCAAGGCCATTACATGTCCATGCTGACAAACAGTTAGCGTACACCTTTAATTTGACCAAGCAACACAAAGCTTAAAAAATAAATAAATAAATATGTTAAATATATAGATTAGGGGTGTCTAAACTTTTTTCACCCAGGGTCACATATAGAACTATTAAACTATTATATCAGTGGTGAAGGGGCTCAGACAGACTCTCAGACATATGCATTTTATAGTAGGTTTAACAGTTTAACAGCGTATCCATAGCACGAAACCACAAAAAAAAAAAAAAAAAAAAAAAAAAAAAGGCTCTAATAAAGACATATTTTTACTACATAGAGAGACAATAACATAATGATGTAGATAGGCTACAGAAGCACGTTAGTGTATAGGATAAATGATTTTGAAGGAAAAGTTGTTTTTTTGTAGTTTTTTTCTTAGGTGTAGGAAGTGGAATAGAGTTCACTCAAAAGAACCACTGTACTGAACTCCTGAGTACTATTATTATTATTACTACTACTACTATGTGTTGGTCTGTGTTATCCAAGTTGTTGCTTGTTGTTTGCTGACAGTCGTACTCTTGGCATCATCTTTTCTAAACAGGATCAGACATTCAGAAGTGACTCCACTTCAGACTAAACCCCTTCAGTTTTATGTGAAATATTTGTAACAGTCTGTTAAGTACATGATGAAGTACATAACTGAAGAAAATAAACTCCTACTACTACTACTACTACTATTACAACTATTATTGCTATTATTACTACTCCTATTACTATTACAACTACTGTTACTACTAGTACTACTACTATTACTACTGTTACTACTAATACTACTACTAGAACTATTACTACTACTACTGGTACTACTACTGTTACTACGACTACTACTATTACTACTACTATTACTATTATGACTACTGTTACTACTAGTACTACTACTATTACTACTATTACTACTGCTATTACTATTACGACTACTGTTACTACTATGACTACTGTTACTACAACAAGTACTACTATTACTTCTATTACAATTATGACTACTATTACTACTATTGCTATTGCTATTACTATGACTACTAATATTACTATTACAACTACTGTTACTACTAGTACTACTACTAGAACTATTACTACTACTGTTACTATGACAATTACTATTATTACTACTATTGCTATTAAGACTACTGTTACTATTACTACTAGTAGTACTATTACTACTAGTACTACTATTATTACTACTAGTACTACTACTATTACTACTATTATTACTACTATCACTATTACTATTTTTCACATTTACCGGAAGACGTTTGGAAACATGTGGATGACGACTTTCAGCGTATGTACCGACACGGACTTGTGTCGGTAAATACACATGGATTCAGCAGCAGCGTCTTCAAAACCTGCCTTTTTTATTATTAAGTTAAATAAATTATAATACTCTAACTAATATCCATTTATAAAAGGAAAAAGAAAGAATACAATGACATCTAGATGAAGAAAATTGGACTATTTTCTCAGTTTTCTCAGAGTTCCTATCTCCAGCAGAGCCCAAAGGAAGTCGTCATCTGCATGTTTCCAAACGTCCTCCGATTCTGTGACATAAGTGAATAGAGCCATTGGTCTGTAGCACAATGCACTGAGATGTTACTGATTGCACACTGATAGAGATAATATGCATTTATACACACATTTATTAAGCAGTGACTGGTGAACGCATGAAAAGCAGCCGAGTCCACTGTGAATACTGAGACTATAGTCCCATTGTAGTTTTCCAATGGTCCAGTTCAATGTTTTGGTCATACCTTGGATACGTTAACCAATATTAAATGAATTTTTCAAAATGTAAATTAAAATCCCACTGTCATAGAAATATTGGTAAAATTGTACTTTCATATTTTGTGCAGAACTTTTCTAGATTTTAACTGTTTTTGTATTTTTTTTAAAGCCATGCGATCGCTTCTGTTAAAGGGTCCAAATAACACTGTTTTCTGATCTGTGTTCTTGTGGATTTTCCTCATCACAAACAGACCTGAAAACACCCTGTTCCACCTTGTGATGTCATGTGGTGACACAGGAAGTGCTCCACTGTGTTTTTAAACTCCACACACCTACACTAGAATCATTTTGGTCATTTGAGCCCTGGAATTGCCGATCTCTGCTGAAGTAAAATATAACTAAAATGTAACTAAATGTAACTAAAAGGAGCTGTTAACTTGAAATCTAGCACCACATGACATCACAAGGTGGAACAGAGCATTTTGAGGTTTGGAGATGTAGACAGACTTATAATAGTTACTCAGACATGTGTGAATGAAACAAAACACAACTTCAGCTCTGTTTTTGAGGAGGTAACAACGTTAGAACACGACTTAAAGCTCACAAGAGTTAACTCTGTGTAATAACCTTTAATATAGGCGTGTTTGTGGTTTCCTGGTTAGAAGGATATGCACTTGTATAAATACAGGTTAGGTACTTTCAGGATAGTTTCAAAACTACAATAATAACCACAACAGTCATTTACAAATGCCAGTGCATCCTGTGGCAGTGGGAGCAGTTGGTTTGCACAAATGAAACGGAGATTTTAAAGCTGAGCTGTTACTTTTTAGCTGAGGGTCTGTCACCTGCTTGTTTCTATGGAGATGTCATTACTCTGCCTGGAATGTTCCACAGTGTGACATTAAACTACTTGGCTCTACGTTACATTTATTCAATTATAGGTGGTTTTAGAGCTCAAAAATACTTAGAAAAGCACATTCTGACTATGAGCAAGGTCGCCTTTACACAGATCTGACCTGTCACTCCGTCTGGTTCGGTCTCCATGATGATAGAAAGGTTTAATACCACACTGCGAAACATTTTATTCCATTCCAAAGCAATAATGTCTCTCTTTGATGGACCCTCCACCCAGTTACATAATGCACCTAAAAGTAAAAATAGGAGGTAACAACATTACAACATGACTACGAACTCACAATCAATTTTGTGTCATAAAGGACTTTTTAAAGGTAGTTACCCTAAGGCAATGCATAGTCAAAATACCAGAAATACCAGAATGCTGCAATAAATTCTAGATATGAATGGAATAAACTCTGAAACTCCATATGCCTCCACTCCAATCATTTGTATCATGTCAGATCTGGAATTGTCCATTTCTACTGAACAGAACGTAAACCAAAGCTGTTAACCTGAAAACTAAAGAGCCACGATTGATTGTATAGATCTATAGAATGCCCTTGGAAATTAATGTCAGCACAACTGCACTTTACAAACGCCCTGCACTGTGTCAATAAAGAGCTGGAGAGTTTGCACAGTTTGCAGAGGTCAGTGCTTCTCTGCAGCTGCCTACGTGTTACTGCTCAATCACACCGCAAGCCCCGTCCACTCCACAAAACACGCGTGGCACATGGAACCCGGAGCCCAGCACCGGTCACTGCGTTGGTCACTAGTGCAGTATTGACCGGGTAACAGGCTGACAGCGCTAGCCAGCTGGCCTGCCTGTTAAATCCACGTCTGGAGGGGGCTCAGATTACGCAAAAACATTCCTCCGTACACTTCACACGTTTGGCTCAGAGGGAAGCGACAGTCTGACACAGGGTTTAGCCGCTAGCCCGAGCTGTCAGCGGGGCGTACGCGCACGGGAGACACGGAACAGCGGCTCTTACTTGATCCTGCTGTCCATGTTTAGCTAGAACATCGCGACAGCTCCGTGCGCACTGGCTGCTTCGTGCTGCTGCTGCTGGTGCTGCTGCTGCTGCTGGTGGTGGTGGCGGCTCGCTTCTCCAGCTCTGTCCTCCGTTCCTCCTCCGTGACTTTTTTCCTCTTATCTGGTACTTTCTGCAGGCTGACAGCGGTGCCACATGCTCGGATGCCCCGTGCGCAGTGGCAGGGCGCGTGTGGGAGCGGTGTCGGAGGCGCTGGAGTGGACTGGTTCCCCCTCCCGTGGACGCGCTCGCTCGGTCGGTCGGTCGCTCGGCGGTGGGTCGGTTCACGGCGCGGATTTCCCACAACAAACCTCCGTCCAGGAAGTGAGGCTGACAGAGGGGAGTGACGTCAGCACGCAGGCGCCACACGCTCGGATCGCCTCCGCAGAGCGTCACAGCGGTGGATGCGCGCGAGCAGGAGTCTCCAACCCTTTAACTCCGGTGAGATACTTTGGCAAAACAAAAATGCTTCAGAGCTACTAGTTTTAGTGGTCACACGAAATGGAGTATATAAAAGAGCCACAGCGAGCCTGAGATAAAGTCCAGGTAGGTTATGGTGAACAGATGTCCCTGTTTCCCCTGGACAGTCCCTGGTTTGAGGCCTGTGTCCCCTGTCCCAGCAGATTTCTACAAAACCACTCATTTGTCTCAGTTTTATACAAGAAATGTCCCAGGTGTCCCTATTTTTGACCAGTTTGATCCCTGCCAACAGTAAAGAGGCTTAAACTCTTTTGGTAAAATACAGAAAAGCTGCTTAAAAATGACCAAAACACAAAGAAAATGTGACTAGTCATGAATGGGCCGAGTGCAGAAAAGTTTTCCTTAATTACACATTAGTTTCACCATTTTATTTCCAACCACCACAAACCAGGAGTGTCCCAATTTTTGATTTCGATAATCTGGTCGCCCAAAGTTAGATGCTTAAAAACATAAACCATGATCCATTTATTAGTGCACAAAGTTAGACATCAATATGACACAAGTGCAGTGGTAAAAGGCATTTAAATAATCGGATTTTACTTCAACACAATCTGTATAATTCAGAAATCTGTTAGTGAGCTGCTTTGAAGGAGGTGGACAGTTTCATGTAGCTCCAGAGCTGCAGGTTGGACTCTCCTGTGCTGAATAAAAACATATTAATAATAGAAGTGTGAAGTAGATTTGCACAAAAACAAGCTTGAATATTTTTTATGGTGTTATTAAAGATGCACTATGTATGTGTAATGTTCCACACTATGGCATTAACATGTGTTTACGTGTTTATTTAATTGCAGGTGTATTTATTGCTCAAAATACCCAGAAAAAACACACAAATTATATAAGATAAGAGAAAATATGATAATCCTTTACTTTAGGTTTATATAAATCAACTGACCAAATATTTGTCCAGTTTTAGATATGTTCAAACAGATATGTCCAACAATGAAAAACTTAAAAAAAATAATAAAAAAAAAAAAAAAAAAAAAATTATACATTAAATAAAATACAATTACAATATATATATATAATATATATATATATATAATATATATATATATATATATATATAATAAATAAAATAAAATAATAAAAATAAAAAAAATACATTAAGACTGAAAAAAAAATTATAATAATAAAAATACATTAAAAACATATATAAATTATGTGACATTAAATTGAGGTGGTGATCTGGACATGGGTTTCACTGAGGGAAAATGTTTTTATATTACGGGGACAATTAGTCATTGTCCCTGTTATTGTCAGTAACTTGTACCTGAACCTTAACTAGAACTTGTATTAGATATCCACACATTTAGACTAAACAAAGTGTGTATTTTGTTGCTTTATTTCTTTTAAAATGATGTATTTCATGCACTATTAATTACATTTCAGCACTGTCGGCTTGTTAATGATACTCCACAGTGTGTTTCCACAATCAGGGGACTGTTCATTTCAGATCTGGAATTGCCGATCTCTACTGAATTAATGGTAAAAGGAGCTGTTCACTTCATGACATCACAAGGAGCATTGTGAACTCTGGAGATGTAGACAGACTAATAATAAAACACAACTCCAGGTCTGTTTTTGATGAAATAACAACATTATAACATGACTTAGAGTTTATTTGGAGTAATACAGTACTAATACAGTGACACCTCCTCTGTCAAATCATTTCATTATAATATAGACATTTGAACTCTTCTGGGATGTGTTTTTGTGTGTATATGGATGTGTGATAAAAAGTGGCTCGTGTGTGTGTTCTGCAGTAGTGTGAGCGTTGTATGTAAATGTGAGTTTAGTCAGAGTGTCCCGTGGTAAATTGAAGGCATGCACAGGAGCTCTCCGGAGAGGGGCCTGGAGGGGAGCCAGATCTGAGCCAGCTCACCTAATTAAGTGACTGCAGCAGACTGGGCCACGCTGTCTCACGCATCTGTATGAAATCATCACCATCACTATCGTTAAAAAAACACACCGGAGAGAGGGAGAGAGGAGGAGAGAGGGAGAGAGAGGGAGAGAGGAGGAGAGAGGGAGAGAGAGGAGAGGAGGAGAGAGGAGAGAGAGGAGAGAGGAGAGAGAGGGGAGAGGAGGGAGAGAGGGAGAGAGAGAGAGAGGGAGAGAGGGAGAGAGGAGAGGGAGAGAGAGAGAGAGAGAGAGAGAGGAGAGAGGGAGAGGGAGGAGAGAGAGGGAGGATTGAGGGGGAGGAGGAGGGGAAAAAAGAGTGGGGGAGAGGGAAAGAGAGAGAGAGGAGAGGGAGAGAGAAGGGAGAGGAGGGGAGGGGGAGAGAGAGAGAGAAGGAGAGAGAGGGAGGGAGAACGATGGAGAGAGGAGGGGGAAGGAGGGAGAGAGAGGAGTGGAGAGAGAGAGGAGAGGAGGAGAGAAAGATGGAGAGAGAGGAGAGGGAAGGAGGGAGGAAGAGGAGAGGGAAGGAGGGAGGGAGAAAGGAGAGTGGGAGGAGAGGGAGAGGAGAGGAGGGGAGGGGGGGGGAGAGAGAGTGTGAGAAAGGGAAGAGGAGGTAGAGAGGGGGAGAGGGTTGGAGTGGGAAGCAGGGAGAGAGGGTGTGAGAAAGGGAAGAGGAGAGAGAGGGAGAGATGGAGGAGGTTGAGGGAAAAGAAGAAGGAAGGGGTGAGATGTGAGGGTAAGAAAAGTGATAGAGCGGGCAGGAAAAGAGCGGGTTGAGAGAGAGGGCGAGACAAGGGAAGAGGTGAGAGAGAGAGAGAGAGAGAGGTGGAAGGAGAGTGGGAGAGAAGGAACTAGAGGAAGATGGACAGGAGGAGGAGGAGGGGAATAGGTAGAGAAAGATTTAGAGAAGGGAGGAGGGAGAGAAAAGAGGGAGAGAGGGTTGGAGTGGGAAGCAGGGAGAGAGGGTGTGAGAAAGGGAAGAGGGGAGAGAGGGAGAGATGGAGGAGGTTGAGGGAAAAGAAGAAGGAAGGGGTGAGATGTGAGGGTAAGAAAAGTGATAGAGCGGGCAGGAAAAGAGCGGGTTGAGAGAGAGGGCGAGACAAGAGAAGAGGTGAGAGAGAGAGAGAGAGGAAGGTGGAAGGAGAGTGGGAGAGAAGGAACTAGAGGAAGATGGACAGGAGGAGGAGGAGGGGAATAGGTAGAGAAAGAGTTAGAGAAGGGAGGAGGGAGAGAAAAGAGGGAGAGAGAGGGGGAGGAAGGAAAGGGAGAAGGAAGAGGGGATGGGGTGCAACTTGAGAGGGAGGGCAGTGAGGAAGAGAAAAGGAAAAGAGAGGGTCAGAAAAGAGTGGGGAAGTTTGAGAGAGAGGGAGAGATGAGGGGAGAGAGAGCTGGGGTGGAGAAAGGGAAGAGGAGAGAGAGAGATGAAGGTGGAGGGAGAGTGGGAGAGGAGGAATAGAGGAAGATGGAGAGAAGAAGGTTAGAGAGGAGAAGCAACAGATATTGTAGGACAGTAGGGAGAGAGTGACAGAAAAGAAAGGTGAGAAGGAGAGATAGAGAGAAAGAAAGAGAGAGAGAGAGAGAGAGGGGTAGAGGTAGAGTCATATTTCAGAGGTTCAGACTTTCACAGAGAAGTCATTTTAAGAGAAGCTTTTAGTCCCAGCCACTTTAGACCACAACTTTAGACATTTAGGATCAACAACTAGAAAAAAATGATGTAACGTAAGTGATATTTCTTGACTTTTTGAGTCACAAACCTTCAAAAGTCCAATAAAAAGGAAATGTGGTGCAGGTCAAAGAAAAAAAATAAAAACATTTTTAATCCAACCTTTTGTTTGCAGTTTCCATCCAAGCAGTTTTTTAATAATTTATTTATTTATATATATTTTTTCAAAAGTCAGACAGATGTCCAACAAAAACTTAAAAAAACTGAAGGAAAAAAAAAAATCACTAAAATTACATAAATACATAAATTACCCCAAATTTAATTGGGGTTGTGTAAATTTTTTAATTCAACCTTTCCTTTCCAAAAACCTTCCATCTAAGCACTTTTTAAAATTAATATTTTTTTTTTTTTTTTCCTGAAACAGAAGTGAGACAAATGTCCATCAAAAAAGGGGGAAAAGAAAGAAAGAAAAAAAAGAAAAAGAAAAAAGAAAATACGATTACACAAAACTTAAAATTACAAAAATAATAATAAAAATAAAAATAATACAAATAAAAATAAAATAAAAAACACAAAAATTGCATAAATACAAAAATTACATAAAATTTTATTGGGGTTATGTAATTTTCCACATTGTTCTTGACAGTGTTGAGAAGGTGACTTTTAAAATGTATTCCCCTACAGATTACAGATTACATACACCAAAATGTAATCTGTAACGTAATCCATTAAATTATTTAAAGTGAGTAATGTAATCTGAATACTTTGGATTACTTGATTTGTTGTAGAGAAGCAAAGACTAAGATATCGCAGCATAAGATGTTTTATCTGCTAAAAGAAAATAAAAAGCCCAGACTTTACTGAACCGTATAAAAAATATTATTGATGGTCACACAGCATGATTTAGTCCTGTTAAATCCTGTTTTAGTCCTGGTTTAGATCTAGTTTAGATCTAGTTTAGATCTAGTTAAGACCTGGTTTTAGTCCTGGTTTAGATCTAGTTTAGACCTGGTTTAGTTTCCAGCAATGAGTGGAATTAAAAAGGGGAGGCAAAATGTGAAAACAGGAACATACCTCCATGTAATCCATTTATTTCAACAAAGTAACTGTAATCCAATTACCACTCACTTAAACAGTAACTGTAACCGAATACAGTTATTCATAATTTGTACTCTGATTACTTAACTCTGGTAAATGTAATCTGTTACTCCCCAACACTGGTTCTTGATCCCTTCACTAATGAACATGTACATGACATGAGCGCTTTGTAAGGGTCAGTC